AGAAACAGTGCTTTAATCTGACAATTAAGAGTCTCAGTGCCTCCATCGATACAAAATGGCCACCCAGCCTCCTCGAGACGCGACAGTCGTCCTTCGAGACCACACCGACTACAGAGCCTGGATGATGCAGCTGCAATCGAGATGTGTAGCGCACGGCATCTGGCCGCAAGTGGACCCTAAGTTGACCATCCAAATGATCTCCAAACCAAGAGCTCCAGAGATGCCGCTAATAGCTGAGTTTTCACCAGCCTCCAACGTTAAAACGCCTACGCACCTGAACAAGCTATCGACAAGCGGTGTCAGAGCCTTTAAAGAAGCCATTAAATACTACAAGATTAAGGCTGACAAGTACAAGAGTAATAGACATAATTATAAAAGAGAGTAATTAAGCCTTTAACAGATTATTGTCTTTATCTAGTCAACAGTTAGCCTGCATCTGCAGTGTACATGCTGTTCCCTAGATTAACTACTTAAACAGTAGATTACAAACCTTAAAGCTATAGTAGGTGTTAATAACTAATTTAAATAAGAACGTGCGCGCAACTAATATAATGCATCTTTAAAGCTGCTAAGAAACGCAAGCATATAGGACCTGTAGCTAGCAGAGTATGACTACGCTGCCATAGAAGCGGAGACACAAAATGTTCTAGAAACAACACAGTTTAATGCTGTAGCAAAGGACTTTCTAACTACTATAAATAAAGTTGCCTTTTATTAGTCTATAACTTTTTAGAAAAGCAGACAGTTTACACTAGACATAAATTAGAAAGAAATAATAAAGCGCTTTTAAAAACATATAATATTAAATTATCTAATATGTATAAAAAAGCATAAAGCTGCCTTTATAACAGATAACTTGTTATACCTTACTAAAAGTAGAAAAACCACCTAGGGCACAAACAGAGACGCCTGTAGTGCAGAAGTTGTAATGTTAAAAAAATAGAGTAAACCTTAACATTAATGTTATTAAAAAGATAATAAGAAGTTATTTTTAAGCTAGAAACCTGCTAAAACAGAAGGCACTAAATGTCCTACATGCGGACACATCTATGCACTAAAGGACTGCTTCTATGTCTATCTAGACAGAGCACTAGACTAGTAGATGCTAAATAAGAGAGTTAAAAAGCTTATAGCATTAAAGCGTAAGCACAACTTAGAATTTTAAGGCTTACTAAGAGGGCAGCGTAGATATAATTTAAGAATACTAATCTTAAAGAGTTTACATACACCTACGCTAGAGATACAAGAAGACTAACTTAAAAGCTAGGAAGTATTAAAAGTTAAGGCAGCTGCATTGCTAGCTATAGTTAATTTAAACTAGAACAGATATCTGCTAAGAGAATTATTTATTCTTAACTTAGGCTTAATATGCTACATTATAAATAATTCTAATTAAATCTACAACTATTATTTACTAACACTAGAAGACTTTATCTAGTCTAGAAACTCTTGTGTATAGATTTAAAGCTATAAATTAATTACACTAAGCTTAAAAAGTAAGCATAGAACACACAGTTAAGCATACAGTCTTGTACTACATAACGCTGCACTGTGCCTAGACCTGCTGTGCAACCTGTAAGGCCGGGATGGCGCTTACGTGTAAGGCCGAGATGGTGCTTACGTACGACGGGTATATATACTATTCTGTACGCAATAATTAACGTTGGTTAATTATTTGCACCTTTTTAGTTGTATTGGCGTAGTGGTACAGAGCTCTGTCCTTATATAATAATCAACTAACAACGAGGACGGTCGCGCGTTTGACCCACACCTTGGACAGCTTTGCCAGTTTTTAGACTGAAACGTGAGGCGGCCTCTTCTGGCGCCACGTTGTTGCTGCTGGGAGGTCTAGTGTATATGGCTTAGCTGGCGTGGGCCACTGAGCGTTGCGTTGTTATTTATCCCGCGCCTCTGGGCCGCAGGTGGTCAGCCTCTGGCCGGTAACCGAGACATGCGCATAGGCGCCTCTGAGCTGCGGGTAGGTCATGTGACGCCTGGGACATGCGTCTGCTAAGAAGGGGGATAATGTAAGGCCGGGATGGCGCTTACGTGTAAGGCCGAGATGGTGCTTACG